ATTCACCTTCTCCACAGCACTCAATTTTACAAACCCCTACCACCTCACTCAACTATACCCACCCTCACTCATCCTTTCTGCTATTTAATCTCTGCTATGGACTCTGCCAGTTCCTTTTTTTCTATTATTAGAAATAATTATTTCTATTATTTTATTAATTTTATGTTATTTCTATTATTTCTACTTCTCTAGTATTACTTCTCCTGTGGGGTTTTTTGGTCCACAGTTAATTTTAAGCTGAGGCTTGCAAGAAATCCTTTCAACAACTCTTAAGATGCTTCTCATGGTGGTAACACCTCATCCACGTAGTTCATTACGTATCCGTATGTGCTAGACTCACTTTCCCCTTCTCCCTCTGCATTATTCCACATTTATCAACAATCATATCTGCTGGTTTATCAGCTAGTCACAAAATATGTTGAAAACTCTTGCAGTGACAATCATCAGAATTTTTTAATTTAATATACCTAGACCAATTTAAACAACAGGACCCCAGCAGTTGGAGTCCAGCATATTCAATACAATTAGTCACTACTATCCCTATTTGCCTGGCATTCTTCTCAGTCACCAGCAGGCTCTTGCCCTTCTGTACCTACCACACCAGGACCATGGAGATGCAGACAGTCAGCAGCTCAAGGAGCCTGTAGGAAAGAGTGCTATGCTGCTTATTTTATGTTGAAAATAAACTTCCAGGCAAATGTGCTTACACCAGAAGGGTTTGCCATGGCAGAACAAGACGTGGAAACCTGAACTCAGAAAGCCCCCTTGTGAAAGCCTTGCCTTGCAGACCAACAAGGGTCAGTGAGAGGGTTACAGGACACTGAGGCTGAGTGAGAGAGGGACAGCAGTGGAACAGATGCATGGCTCCAAGACAAGCCCCCTTCCTAGGGACTCCCCTGTCAGCTCCAGGCTATTTTCAATTTAGAAGCCCCCCAGGCAGGAGAGCCACAAGCAGACAAAACTTTCCACTTCAAAGGGCTCCTGGAGTCTTCCAAGAATGGATGAAGGCTCCTGGGAATGAACTTTGGCTTCGGGGGTCATTTGGGCATTGAATAGAGAGATCTGTTTTAGGGGCTGAGAGAGGAGGAGGAAAAGAACTTCCTTAGCAGAGCTCAGCCATCACTGTGGGGAAGGGAAAGAAGGACACAGAGTCTTGCATAGTCCAGTTTCTCTGAGCAGGGTGAATTAAAAAACCCCAACCAAACAGGAACACTTCTGCTAGAAATTGGTGGCGGGGGGGTAGAAAGGAGGAAGAAAGGGAGGAGCAGGAAGTGGTAACTTATTTGGACTCCTGAAATGAAACTCCAGTACTCACAGGGTTTCACAGCTCACCACTTGTTTTCACCTGGTCAAAAAAACTGAAGCAACAATTCAGGCCGGGTTTTTGTGCTGTCTGTGGTTGCTCTTGGACACAACTTCAAAATCCAACAAAAAGAAAGCTCTTTTATTTGCAACATTAGCCCTTTCCCTAGAGAAAACCCAGTCTTCTTTGGTCTTTAAAGCAACCACTTAACAAGCTTTCTCATCCCAGAATCTCTCATCTCTCCCCCCTCTTTCCAATGCATATACACTTTTATTATGGGCTTTTCCATTAACTCTGCTGACTTTACTGAAGTTGATTGAATATTTCAGAAACAATTTAAGCATTCCTGCCAAACATAGTTCCCTAGAAACCCAGCAAGGCTCTTGCGGAAGGTCTGGGCTGTTGCCTGTTCAGGTAGCGTCACTCTAGGATGCTGAGAAAGAAACATAACCATAGAATCATAGAATCATTTAGGCTGGAAAAGAGCTTTAAGATCATCCAGCCCAACCATTAACTCAGCATTGCCAAGTCCACCACTAAACCATGTCCCTAAGTGACTCATCTACACGGCTTTTTAAATACCTCCAGGGATGGTGACTCAACCACTTCCCTGGACAGCCTGTTCCAATGGTTGACAACCTTATGGTGAAGAAATTTTTCCTAATATCCAAACTAAATCTCCCCTGGGGAAACTTGAGGCCATTTCCTCTTTTTTCTTGTTACTTAGGAGAAGAGACCAACACTCAACTCCTCTTTCTTGGAAAAGCCCCTTCGTTTAAGGATGGCATGAGCAACCAAAGATGAGCAGACAGGAAGGATGTAAAATGTTGAGGTTCCAAGTTATGAATGAGCTCTTTGTCTGATTCTTCCCTCCACAGCCCTATTATACCCATCAGAAGCTTCCTGCAATGCTCTTCCAGTTGTACTGCACAAAGCTCTCATCCCTTTTCCCATCGGCTCAATGATAAACATCCCCACAAGAAGTTTACTTGTAAAAAATATATGCAAAATTTCTGCATGCCCCAGGGTCCAACAGCAAGTAGAAGAACATAAAGTAAGATGGGGCGCTGTCCCTGCCTCCTCATTTTAGCTATCATTTTGGCACATGCCAGAACATCACCCCAAGCAAAACATAATCAGGTAATGAACAGAGATTTGCATGCAATTCCAGCAGTGGGCATGACCACAGGCACTGATCACTGCAAGTTATTCCTTCCAAGGATCTTCACAAATCACATCTTTGCACACCAGCTGCACAATAAATGGCTGCAAGACCTTTTGTCATTTGTAGTTGTAACTGGACTATCAACTGAGGTGACAGAGTAGTTACCATTTCTACACAAAAACATGTTTATTACAATGATGTAGAACTGACTCAGAGCACAAAGATGCTTTGAGGTTTTCCTGCTTGATCAGCAGATTCAAATCCCTTGTTGCCAGATTGGCATAAATTGCTAGCCAGTCCCTTCCCAAGAGACAAGCTTTGACTATCTCTCCTGACAACAGTAACTAGTACCAATTAGATGTGCATCCTTTCCAAAAACAGCGTCATGAACACCCAAATAGAGTATCTTTGGATCTTACAACCTTCTCATTCCAGAAGTCAGGCTTTTGAAAATGTCAGGGAAGATATCCTCAGCTTCCCCTAACATGCAAAAACCCTTCCAAAATGTACACTGAAGGAAAAAGGTTGAAGCTAAAATAAAGATGGAACTGCAAAGTACAAGCAGAAATTATTCTTTAGCTATCTTTAAATATTTCTATTTTTACATGCAATTAGTTCTTTCATGTTCTTTACGTCTACCTCTGCTCATTTTAAGATCAAACTGCCAGCAATTTTTTTTTGCCAGCACTTCACTTAGAGCCTGCTCTCTGCCACCCCTTCCCTCCCCACCTGCAGGCAAGCAGGGATCTGGGCCTCACAAGACAACTGTGGCGTGGGTGTTATTGGCTGTCTGTTTTGGCAGCCTCTCATCCTTTCTTCCAGCTCTGTTTTGAAACACAATCTAAATTAAAAAAAAATAAAATTGAAAAAAAAAAAAAAATTAGACATTCCTGCTCTCCCTACTCACTCGCATCAGCAGCGCTCCCATCACCACAGCCTGAAGCATGGCTGCAAAAGGAGCAGCACCAAAAAGGCTGGCAAATGTTCAGCAAGGAAAAAACTTACTCTGAGAAAAGGTACAGACTTCTGGAGGGGCAGAGGCAAAAACCAGGGGAAAGTGGACCAAGAGGATTTGGGCCCGCTCTCTTCCACATTTAATAGCATTAGGTTCTAACATGTAATTTGGACTAAAAGACTAATTCTTTCCTGTGGTTTGATGGATGTTAACATCCCCTTTTTTTATTACTCTTTAATAATATATTACATAACATTCTGATACACTAATTACCATCTCATGTCATAGCAATTTTATTAAGAGCTTATACTTACAAATACCCATTCTGAAACGATTTCAGGACTTTTTGCCATTTTCTCTGAACTATGCTTGTTGAAGCACTGGCATCGCTCCGTGCACCTTCCAGTAACAACACACCTCTACACAAAGCTGTCTCCTGAGCCCTGGGAGTCAGGCATGGATTCTTCTTGCGTTTAGTCTCAAAGACTTGTAAACAAGTTACTTTTAGCACACTAGGTTGTGATTAAACACTGGTAACTCAGCCCTATTAGGTTCCTGTACCTGCTACAGTTCCAAATCCAGAAGCAATGCGAAGAGAGAAAAATTCCTTTATACCAAGTAATGGAAAATTTGTTAACTATTGTGCAGTTAGTGTTTGCTCATTCATATGTTATCATCTCACCAGGCAAGACTTAGTACCATGAGGTATTTTTCTGTATAAAATTGCTAATGCCATCGGGATTGTCCAAATGGGATCATCATCATTAAAAAGATTACACGGTGAGGAAAGTGATTACGACAACATCTCGGTAGAAGGATTACTAATCACAAGTAGAATCCTGGTACAAATCTCATTCTCTGTATACAAGAAAGGACACAAAGTCTTTTTAACGTAATTTATATACATTTATGGCTTTATACAACAAACTGTCAGGGATTGTTCTCATGTGTCTGTAGAAGTACATCAGGCACTTTTTCTGAAAATATCCACGTATGAATTTTAATTCTGCAATGTGACTAAGTCAGAGCAGTGAAGCGTTGAAGAGCTGTCACACCACTCGCAAATAGAACTAGCAGTATGTACATGCCAATCTCTCAGATATTGCTGGTTTGTGGAACACCTTCAAAAAAGAGGCCAGTTTTCATGTTGAATAATTTGCTTTTTGCTTGCATAAACCATGCTGCATCTTATATTATGATTACCAAAATAATAATAATAATAATGAGAATACCTTATTTAAAATCAGTCATAAATTAAGAATCCTAGCAATTTCATAATGAAAATAGGAATTTCAAATCAGTAAAAAAATAAAAAAAGTACTAACATACATCCAGTGGTTTAACAAGTGCAAATTTTATACTGTTTTATAATTGGTCCAATTTTAACTTCTCAGGGATGCTCTGTTGACCTAAGCCAATAATAAGCAATATGATTTTTGCTTATATATATATAGTGTAGGCAAACTGTCAGTTTATCAAAGCAGAGCTTTCCAATTAATGCATCTACTACCTAAACATATATCATATAGCTATATTATGGAAACAATACATCTTTATATTTAAAATATCTCAACAGCTCTATAATACAATAAACTTTTAATAACAGTACAAACCAGAGAAAAGTCAAAAACAAGGCTGCATAGGTAAGATCATCTGCACAATTCACAAACCAATAATTTACAACAATTCTGACAAACTAAGTTACTCCAGAAACTTGGTACTTTTACTGAAAAAGGATTTATAACTAGAGGTCACATAATGTTTGTCTTCAAGGCAGACAACATGCTCCTTCACCAACTTCACAGTATTCCAGAATTACAACTGCAAAACATTAGAATGGCACCACAAAAAACCACCCAAAAACAGAACCAAAAAACCCCAAACAAATGAACAAAAAAAACCCCTCAAAATTAAAAAAAAAAAAAAACAAAAAAAGCCAAATAGACCATGCAGCCCAAATCTCTGATTACCTACAACCGTTTCCTCACAATAATTAAAAGGGCTTTCTATAGACTGCTGTATTTAAGGTAAGGCTACATTTATGTTATTCATAGGTATAAAAGGAAAGGAATAAAATAGCTGTTTACAGGAAGTTATACAGTAGCAGTAAATAATAAACAGGAGGTATATTGTTAAATGTAGCAAGTTCAGCTGCATCCCCATGGAGCATAGCATTGATTACTGCTTTCTTCACATGCAGAGGTGGATTTTATGACAACTTTCGCCTATGTGTATCAGTGCCTATTTGGGAGCAAACATTTTTGCACATGCATCAGACAGAATGATCTTCAGAAGCCCCTGTATGAGCCCTCCACTTGCTCCACTCTCAGGATTTACTACCATGTTTCAGAGACTAGGCATTTGATGGTGAAGATGCTACTGGAAATCTTTTACTGCCCGTAAAAGCAGGTGGCTTCATTCAGGCTTCAGCACTAAAAACATTTGATTTTGCTCAAAACAAGTTCAAAGACCAACTTCACACTGGGGAAGATCCTGTATCACATCAGGCTCTGGAACTGCCTGACAATCGTAATAGTGTATCTAAAAAAGTAGGACCAGCTGTAATTGGCAGTGATTTAAGCCCAACAGGGAGCTAAATGCTAGCACATCAATAAATACATTGCGGAGCCTTAGGAAAGTCGTAACAGGTTCATTAAATATATGGCTTGTTACTAAACTTCATTTACTTGGCATGTCCTGTTTCCTTCTCCACCATACACCATCACTACAGGAAAGATGAGTTTCAATTAGGACATTTTCTGGTTGTGAGCTGTTTACACAAAAGAAAAATCAGTGTAAAAATATTTTTTTCTCCCCTTATTCATAACAACCAGCCCTAGCAAAAAAAACCCCAAACCGTTAATTCTGTCAGTGCATTAAAAAAAAGCTCCAAGGATTTCTGTAACACAAATGTTGTGTAGCAACCAGTGAAAAGACAGGGGAGGCCTCTTTGTCACACATCCATGAAAACTGCATCATGCAATTACAAAAAATCAGAAATCGATTCTTCTAAGACCTAGTCCTGAAAAAGCTCAGGTAGCTGTCAGTGTGCTTACTCTAGCAAGACCAGTTTTTTCCACAGAAACAAGATCTCTGTTATTAATGCTCTCCCCTATCCTAAACCTCATGCATTTGTATAACTTTGCCACTTACTTTATCTTTCTTTTGGAAAAGTAATTTTTTGTCCTGCAATAAGGTCAAAGTTTTAGCCTCCCACTCAAAAGTAGCATTTTTGCCTCTTCAAATCTACTGCTTTACAACAGAAACACTGATGAACCCTACAATAGTGCTAATTAAGACAAATGACAATTTTGTCCTTAATTTTACTACAATTACAAATTTTCCACAAAAGGTCCTGCTCTTGAGTGCACAAACATTATGAGACCTCCATGAAATAAATATAAATGTGAAGCATTGTACAAGCATCTTAACAATGAATACTTAACACTTCATGGTAGTTAAAATGGTAATAGAAGCAGATGACATTTCTAAAAATGCATATATAAAACTGATTAAATATTTCTAAACATAAAATTGTCTATATTTATATATCACACAACAAAAAAAGGGACAGAAATGTTTTGTATTCAAGATCCTTATTAAGCTTTTCTGTTATTAGCACTCCCAAGTGCTAGGGAAATTTATAAAAACATGTACTTAATCCAGTTAAAATACTGTACAAAATGAAGAGGTTATGAATGCTGCCAGATCTCAGATTTATTTTTTGTAAAGTTGCCTATGTAACAAAAGTAGAATTTAATTATAAGAAAAATAACTTGGAAAGTATTCCAAAAATTATCTTAAGCCCAACAATAAAGTGATTAATCTGACAATGAAATCCAGATATATTCTTGCATAAATTTACACAAATACAGGTAAATTATCAAATGGCATTTAACCTACTGGTTGCTTGGAATAGTCAGTGAGTTTAGTAGGATCATATTTAACAGGCTATTCTATTCCCATATGAAATGTGTGGCAATTTTGAGTAAAATAAAGCAGTTCATACTGCTGCAAGGCAAGTCCACAGTCATCTCAATTCATCAAAACACAGGTAACATCAACGAAGGTTAAACTTACTTAGGGCATGAGATCATCACAGTATTCTTACAAAAGTTTATAAACTTTTCTTAGACCGAAACAGATAGTCTTAAAAAACAATTCTTCTTCTACAGATCATACTGTACAAAACCGAAAGCACAACATGATGTAAGTAAGAGTCTTTGCTGTGATTATATGGTGTAGTGAATTTGGCACTTCAGAGTAACGAAATTTCCAATGGCACAGTTCTTATCTACAGCAGCACATAACCTGCAAACCTTGGGCAAACATCCTGTACAGGAAAATACTCTCTCTGCTGCCAACTCTGACGAAAGGAAGGCAAAAGGAAAAAAAAAAAAACCAAAAAACCAAAAAAGTTAGTGCATGCGCACAGCTTTGTCAAGAAAATTAAAAAGAAAGGTGAAGGACATCTTTGTACTGCTTTTCTCAGTTCCTGCTGTCAGACAAGTCTGGAGAATTTAACCATAGCCTAGGAAGAAAGAAAAAAACAACAAAAAAGAACAAATTAACATTCACAACAGATGAATAAATCTATTAAAATATGCTCAAGCTAGCTTTAAGATATTTAAATGGGGGGAAAAAATATTCATTACTGGCTAGTAACCAGTTTTTTGTTTAGAACATCGATGACAAAACATCAGCGTTCCACATGAAGTAAGAGAAGTTGGTACTTGACAGTCCTAATGCACCAGTGCAAACCTGACTCTCAAACTAACAAAGGACTGGAAAGTGACTGACTGTTACGGAGGGAGTTCACATCCCAACACAGAAGAACTCCCAGATTTTAAGCATCTTGACATTTCTTTCTTTTCCCTTTAGCTGTTTTGCAGATTTATTATGAAAAGCACAGCTTACCTCCTACTACATCCTAGCCTGACACCCAACTGTGTGTGGTTGTCTTTACGCTGTGCTGAAAACTTTGGTTAGGCAATACACTGTCAAAGTTAAAATCTAACGTTTCTCCATCCATAAGGTCATTACGGATAATCGACTCCATGTCACAGTCCAACCGTTCAATTAACATGTCATCTAAGTCACTGGGAAGCTTCTCCTGGTGGAGGGAAACAATTCCCACCCTCCCGTAGCCATTGCAACTGTTAACAGGGGCATATGGATTCATGGCATTCATCTGCATCGGGTGACTCATAGGCACTTGTAGCGAAGTCTTCACCGTCGACAGGCGGTTTAGCCCCGACGTGTGCGACATGGTGTTCACTGTGTGTGACAAGGCACGGCCATTGACTGCTGGCTGGTTATGCCCCTGGTGAGGGCGGGCGTTGGGGTTCATCATTTTGTTGTGGGGTGGCTGGCTGCCGTAGTTGGGCACCACCGAGTTGGCGACCATCAGCACGCTTTGGCCCAGCGCCCTGCCGCCAGCCTGGGAAACACCAGTGTCCACCGATGCCAGGATATCATTGTGCGGCGGAGAGTCGGAGGTCAGTAACTCCTTCAGAAGTCCCGCAGGACAGTTGTATTGGCTCATCGATCCGTAGCTTGACTTACTGTCTTGGAGAGTCTGCATAGGAATCTGGGACAAGGAGCTCATGCTAGCTTGAGCGTAAGTGAATTTCCTGTAGTCAGGATTTGGTGAACCTATACTTGTGGTTGAGGATGCAAATGAGTAACCTGGTGTTTGCTGCATCAGGGTGGCAGATGAAGACTGGGTTGACACAGTCATTGATGTATTAGGTGATAAGAGATTGAGATTATCCAAAAGATTTTCCATATTCTCAGAATTACTCATCTCTGAAAGGCTTGGTAGAGTAGAAGTCATTTTGGTGGTTGATGATGGGTATACCATGGAGTGCACATCCCCATCTCCAAGGTCATCTTGCTCTGGCAAAATAGGAGAAAGTCTTCCACTAATTGTGCTAGCATTAGAGCTCGTTCTAGGTCGAAATGTACTCCAGTTATCAAAGTCATCGTTACTGTGAGAGCTGGGACTCGCAGGCCACTTTGAGAACTGTGATCCGGGGCTGTCACCATTTCCTTCTTGACCAGACTGAAGGGATGCTTTTTTCTTGGCAGCTCTGCCTCTGCTTTTGGCAAACTTGCTGTTGTTATCCATGGATGCTGCTCGCCTCCTAGGAGATTTACCACTCTTCCCTCCTTCAGGATTGAGCATCCACCAGGAACTCTTCCCTGTTCCTTCATTCTGCACTCTGATGAACTTGCTGTGCAGAGACAGGTTGTGACGGATTGAATTCTGAAAAACAGAATAGCATGTAAGAAATGGAGAAGACATGCATCTTTTATGGCATACTAACACCTGCTTTTGTAAGCATACTCTCATTTTGTTAGAAAACACAGGGGTAATCATTAAATAAGAAAACATGCCAGCCTGGAAACCTCTTTTATCTCCTCATCACTCTGAACTGGCTGAAACAAGCTTGCAAAGAGTCGCCATGTCAGTTTGTCTGTCATCTGCCTCCATCGCATCTGACATTATAAAAGGTTCAATAAAACTGCAGGAACCGTTCTGAAATAAAAATTCCACATAAAGGAGAAAAAATAAGCCAGAAGATCAAGAAGATGACTGAAGTGAGTCATCTAATGAGTGAACTTAACTGTATTTATGGATTTTTTTAAATTATTATTTTATGCAAAGTTCAGGAATGTGAGATCCTGTTGTATGGTCCTTGTAATGGATTTTCATCCTGCACATCCCGAAACCCTACAGACATGAAACACACAAACTGTCACTATTGCCACTGAGCATTAGTGAGGTTTATATAGCTTGTGTTATATAGGAAAATACATATAGAAAACCAGTTGAGGATTAAGTTCTAATTTTTATAAGTAAACATCATTAATTACCTAAGAAATCATAGAAGATAAAGGCATGTAAAGAACATAGACAAATTTGTAATGAAACCCTTAGTCTTAAAATCATCGTTCTCTTTCAAAATCAACATTTTAATATGGAAAATTGACTCTTCAAATACCTGAGGGCACCAGATATCTTGCGCCAAGAACGGCTGGAGGTACTGGACCTTTTTTTGACCTCCTCAGCCATGAGTCATGTTTCATGTTTTGTTCTTAAATACAGACAAATAAAATTTAAAAAAATCCAAAATGGAAGGCCACAGGCTGACCTGTTAACAAGAGACTAATCTTTGCACTACCAAGCTGTAAAAAAACCTATTTTGCTCCTATAATTTTCTGCTGAGCACATGTAAAAAACATTGTATCAACAGAAAAGTTCTCCTGCATCTTGACACAATTGCTAACAAAAGGCCACAAGTTCAAAGAGTGCTGAAATAGGCAGCCATAGATGTTAATAGAAGGGTAAGACAGTACCATGGTCTATGCAAGGACTGCAATTCATCCAGAACAAGGAGAAGGGAACCACAAAACAACACATGAAATAAATGTTTAAAACCAGAATAGACCTCAATGGCAGAGAAATCAGTAATTCACTATCTGCCTTCCATTCAGAGTAATTTTCAGCAACTTGTCTAAAGATCTTAAGTAGGCATTCCACGCACGAACAGTCATCTCACAGCTTAAACCAGAGACAACAGGTCAAATTCCCTGAAAGAGCCTTGATATGCTTTGGACCATGGAAAGCAGAACAGACAAAGCAGGACTGGCTTTCTGCTGAGCTCAGCAGAAGTGGTTACTCTGGGATCACAGAGGAGACTTTCAGTAGATGAGGGCAGCAAGGAGGTGTTACAGTCCTCCAACACCTTACAGATGCTACTGATTTGAGACTATGCCCCCATGGCACAGCTTCACCCCAAACAGGGGCACAAGTCACTCCCTAACACCAGAAGATGGCAGAGCATGGCCTCAAGGCACTGACTGTTCAACCAGCACAGCGCTGAGTCAAACTACATGCCTGAACTCAGAAGCCTTTCCAACCTCTCCTCCAAAGAACCATCTTTACAAGTTATCCCAGTTAAACAGACACCATCAAAAACTCCCCATCCCTGGCAGTATTTGAGGCCAGGCTGGATGGGGCTTGGAGCCAGCTGGTCTAGTAGAAGGTACCCTGCCCATAGCAGGAGGGTTGGAATTAGATGGTCTTTAAGGCCTCCTTCCACCCAAAGCATTCTATGACGACTCTGATTTGAGTGTTTCCTTACTCAATTTTAAAAGGAAGCCCTTCTAGAAACTGTAAAGTAAGACCATATTTCTTCACTTCAGGTCATCTTACAACCAAAATACTATCTCTGATCTAGCAACAGGGTGCTAGGGAAGGCCTTGGAATTTTATTTGCACCAGGTGCAGCTAACACATAGGGAGGGAAAGCCTGGAAGTCCATCTTTGGACTTGCCTGTACCCCAGGGGCTGGCCGGGAAGCCTTGTGAGGCTGGCCTGGCGCAGCCCCTTGTTTTCACTCAAGGGCCACAGACCAATCTGTGGCTGACACAAGTCCAGCTCTACAAATGTCGCAAGAAAGTTGCTCTGTTGATTAAAAAACCTCCTGCACCAGTTCATTTTTTTTACTGTATTTTGTAAACATACCCAGTTGGCTCAGGATCACTGTTTACTATCAAAATAGTCATACCAAACACACAAAACATCGGGCAGGGAAAACACCGTGATAAGTCTCAGTTCCCTCTTCTCTGCTACACAAGTGTTAAATATTTAAGAAATCGCTGCTATTCCTTAGTCATCAAAAATGTTATAATCTGGTATTATTATACTGAGGACATTTGAGGTCGCTCTTTGAGTAACAGAGCTGTCTCCTAACTCTGCCAGCAATGAAAAAAAAATTTTCCTAACAGGAAAAGGTTTGCGGCCCAGAGCTTGTTACATAAATTCCTGTTTTTCACGCAGCCAGCAGGACATTAAAGAAGCTATGATTTACTAACTTGGAAAAAGTGTTGAAGAGGTAATTCTTGTGAAAATATGCACTGCTGTTAATGATGTTGTGTCTACAAATCCTTGCCAGATGCAAACATGACCTGATAAAAAAGTATAGTTTCAGCAGTGGATCTTGGCTGCTGGAGGAATGGCGCAGCTGTTAGTGGCTGGGGCGTGTGGCAGCACCACCAGCTCCAGCACGCAGGGGAGATGCCTTCAGCCATGGGCTTCACCTGGACGTTGAAGCAAAGCCTCCCAAAACCTGGCCTGAATGACTCCAAAAGCAAGTGTCTGCATTTTGAAGCGGGTCTTTGCACAGCAGCAGTTCACGCCAGATCGCGCTGAGCGTAACTGCACTGGAATTTTATCAAAATCTGGGTCAGGATGGCAGCAGGGCTGCTGCCACCTGTGGAGAGCTTCCTGGGATTGAGTTTTTGCCTCTGAGACAAAGTAAACTTACTTCAGCATTCAGACCAGGAACTGTGGATAAGCTTATTGCTACTTTCTGATTTAAGACTCAAAATATGCAAAACCAGTATCAGCTACGTGCCATGTGAAGAGCACATCCCAGCTAATAAAACTCATGAAGCCCAAGATAATTATTCCCTTGAATCTACATATTTATATAATTCAGCTGTACTTCTGACATTTCCAACAGCGCTACCAATATCCAATACTGCATTTAAACACAAGATATAAATAGCAAAACATGCAACTTAAGTTAAACTTGACTAATTGCTGAGAAAAATTATGTCCCTATCCCAACTGAAGTTGAGGTATTTAATTAAATTTTTCAGTAAATTGTGCTGGTGTTTCACTAAATACCTGAAAACTCAGTTGCTCTGTTAAACTTGACAACATTGTGCTTACTGAAGTGAGATCATATAGTGACTATTGGCCATCTTTCTTCCACCCCAGACCTTGGAGCACCAAAAGCAGAGGGAAGCAGAGCTCCTCTTTAACCCAGCTGCAAACCTCTGCAAGCAGGACCTAGCTGTGGATTTGTGATTATCTGGGGTGCTTCAAGACCCCAAATTTGTAAAAGCACCTACAAGTGATCATGGTCTCTCCCGCCCTCATACTTTCATCCATGGGCACAGGCAGCTCACATCCCACCAGAGTGCCATGAGAGCGACCAAAAGGGAGAGTGAGGAATGGAGAGTCAATACACTTTACAAAAACAAGTGCATTGGCTATCAAAGTGCATATGCTGACAGCACTGCAATAAGGCATGCCATGGCATCTCAGGGAGATGTAACAACATGTAACAAAGGTAGGAAGGAGTTGGCCTCTGGAAAATGCAGTCATAACAAACTGGGAGGCCACAGGAGCAGCACTGCTTCTATCACACATAGGTCTAGGATTTCCATTAAAATTAACAGTCTAATGACTGCCCACTAAGTTTTCATTCAGACGACATCCCAGGAGTCCACTGCTTTCTACACTTCTTCCAAGGGGATGGTCTGCACCAGTTGCCAGCTTGTTCTACCATCAGCTGTGGTACCACATCCTATTAATGACAGCTTACAGCAGGTTTCTGAGCCAGCACAATCTCCTTGTGGTGACAACACCACAGCAAAAGTTTTGCAGCAAAGAAGTGGAGAACCCATCCCCCCAGGATTTCCATATGCTTTTAAAGAAGACATTCAACCTGTCTCTCTAGGTCTTTGTATAGGAGCTCTACAGCAGGTCCAGATGTTCACATCACCCTCCTCCTGGAGCCTCAGTGGCAAGTGCCACTCTAAAAAGAAGTCATTAACACTCCTACAAAAGTGTGCAGAGGCCAGGAAGTTCTCCAGCACACTTGCTCACAGCTCAGCCAGCATTAACAGCCGGGCAGCAGCAGCAGGGGCTGACCATGGCAAGTGGCACCATGTGGCATCTCTCCAAGGCTAAGTTAGATCATGCCTGGCAAAACAGGCAGGTTTGCCTGCAATAGCTACACCACCTGCACCCATTTTTCTGTGGTTTCCAATCGCGCTGCCAGGCTTATGGCACTTGGATGAGGAGCCCAAGGAGGAAAGAAAACATTGGTAACTCCAGACCTACCAGAATTTCCTTTGGTACAACAGTCTGGTGTAAGGCAATCCTGTTTGTCTTACCTAGTAACTATGAGATACAAAAAGTTCAGATGACGATGCAACACATGGAGCTTGGATTTGCCTCAGAGCTAGTGCTGCTAGTTATAAGCACTTGGTCTACAGACAGCAGACATTTTCTGACCCTACAATGTTCACCAACACAACCACGCTGCAGTGTCAGAGGCCTCAAACACTAATGAAACAGCTAATTTTGCCACCCAATTGTGGTGTTTTTTTATTACAGCTCAGAAACCTTTTCTGGTGTCCAATAAAAGTATGGACAGAAAGCATGTCACTTAGCCTCAGGTCAAAG